GCGGGGCACTTTGAACTAAAGCACATTGAACATGTTTTTATTTCAAAGCGCACTACCATCACTTTCTCAGTGCAGAGACACACTGCGCCACGGATAAACATGACACACAAGGCTGTCAGAGCATGTCAATTTATGGTTAATCAAGTCTGCTCTGATGCGCTGGATTTCCAGCATGTCAGAACAGGCTCCCCACATGTAAGTGCCTGTTGCTACTGATTATATACCTATTTCTTTCCCAACACTGTAATTTTATTTCCTCCAGCTCCAAAAACAACATCCTTTGGATCAATTAACCTGCATCTTGTTCACATTGTTGACGGGTCGAAAGTGACTTTGGGTAATGAGAATCTTTTGCCAGTTTTGGATATTATTTTTTTTCCTCTGCTTTTGCAAGTTAACTGAAATGTTCTTTTTTTAATCGACAATGGTCTCCCTTTTATGTGCTTTCTGATCACGCTCCAGGGATCATGAAGAACAAGGCTGTTTCTGATTTTCCAGCCATTTGTTTATTCTTTTATAGGAATAAGCATCTCATACATAAGCCTGGCTTATAATTGCAAGGCTTTATCCTTACCCTATAGCCTTCTAGTGCCTGGCTTATTAAAATGTCTTATCCTCGTAGTCTCAAAGATTGTATCTTCAGTCAAAGCATGATTTTCAGCCATATTTCTGGCACTAAACCTTTTCATTTCTAGACTGTACTAAAACAAAAAACTACTTCTCCTTGAACTTACTTTGTAGCATCTGATTTTAAGAACATATTTACATTCAGTTACATTCCATTATTTTTGCTTCCAGTTCCAAATGAAACAGCTCAGACTTCCTTTAGTCCCAAAACTGCTCGAACACCTGAAAATCCACTGTTGAAAACTGGTAATTGATTTGTTTTTCTTAATTCATTCTTTGGAGACTGTTCAGCATTCATACATTATTAGTAGCAAACTGCCATCCAGCCGTGTTTCATTTTTGCTCAAAAACTCAAATAATACACTTTTTATTGCTTTGAAGGTGTATCTGTCTTCTGAGGTGGGATTTCCCTGCTCCCTGCTCGTCTACAATTCTATGGGTTTATGTTCATCCATTTGTATATTGAATACTAGATCTTGGACCTGTATTCTCACGACAGATTTTAAATTGAGCTATACATTCTGTCTACATAAATATTCTTCCTGTTTCCAATGGAGTTGTCGTTCTTCATTTTAGTTCTTTAAAAAATTATAATATGGCATTGCTAGTTCAGAATGGCTACTAAGTTCAATTTCCTAAAGGCAAACTATATGGTGCTAAGAATTGTGGGGGCTTGTTTTAGACCATTAGACTGGAGTAGAATGATGACCACTAACTTGACTCTTTCAAACTTATTTTTAAATTTGCAGCTTCCGATGTGGTTCATACAGGAACCTCTTCACCTAAAATAGCAAAACCATTTGGCAAGCCAGAGGCAACCCTGGGTAATGGTGAATGCTTCTCTTTTTTTAAACCTTCACCAGCCCATGCTGTCATTGCTTTGAATGCTCTCATTTTGCTTCTAGACATTGGCTGTTCATCAGAGCTAAAACTTCTTTCAAACTTCTATCTCAATGTCTGATTCTTTCTTTGTTTGTGGGTTAGTTTGTTTGTTTTTTTTACAGACGCTAATCAAATTTCTGAACACTGCAGAGCTGACTTTGTATCCATAACAGAAGCAAGATTTTTGGCAATATGTTTTGTTGGACCAACTGTATAGTTGGAACAACTATTAAGAAACTTCCAGGCATGATACTTGTCTTATTTCTTCTTCAAGTCTTTGTTTCCATAGAAAGTTGTGTAACTAGGTGTAAAACAAGTTATCTTCTCTTTAAAGCTAAGCATGAATATGGCAAGTCAAATTCAAATGGCAGTGAACATCTGATTGCTAAAGAAACTAGTACTCTCTTTTCACTATTCCACTTTATTCCTCTGTCGGAAATTAGCTGTCACATGCCCATTTTGCTTCCATACATTGATGGCACAGGACCTTCTCTGTGGCAAATTATACTGGTATTGTTGCTATGCTTCACAAATATGGCAATTAAACTTGAGTTGGTTTCTTTCAGCACCACATAAAGTGCAGCTCCCCTCTGAAAGATCAAAGGCATCTGATAAGCCACACAGCAGACCTGGTAACTAATGACTTGTTTTAAGTTTTCTAGTCAATCAGTTTCACCAATTTTTAAAGTGTGTCTTTAGCATCATTTTAAAGGAGTTATTACTTTCCTTTCTAATGTATAGTCCACAGGTGCTGCCTTTCCACTGCTATTTTAAAATTGTTTTGAAGCACGAAAACCATTACAAAGCAAGTTTCTAATTTTCTCCTGTTGTGAACTCTCAGGCTACGTGCAGACATTTGGGGGAATTAGGGGGAAGTCAAATTGCACTAAAAATGTCCACCTGATATAAGGTAAGTCAGGATAGGGGGCAAGTAGACTCAGGGGGAGATTGGGGATCTGTGGGGAGTTGCAGGGGGCAAGAAGGATCCACAAAACTGAGGAGCAGGCAGCGTCCACAGGAAGGATTGTGGGGGCAGGCAGCATCTGCAGGAGAGCTGGAGGTCAGGCGGGACCTGCAGGAGCAATGGGAGGTGCAGGTGGCATCCGTGGGAGGGATCAGGGGGATCAGAAGCAGGCACTGTCTGTGGGAGTGATTGGTGGGGAGGGGCGGATGTGGCATCCACAGGGGATTTCTGGGGTCCAGGGTAGTTTGGCAGGATTAGGGGGCTCATGTGGGTGGTGGGGGGAGGCTTAGAGAAGCCAGGGGCTATTTTTATCCCCCTGATTCCACCAGCACACCTACCCCCCTATCCATCCTGTCCCTCCCCTGACTGATACTTACTTCCTTGGCTCCTGGCAGTGGCAAATGCTGGCAAAACTGGTACAGGAACAGGCTTGCAGGATGGCAGGTGACTGGTCAAGGGGGAAGGTAGGAAAAGCACAGCCCTGGCATTGGGGCCAGCAGCTGGCTTTCCCAGTCCCAGGGCTAGGCAAGTAACGGTACAGAAATTTGATGCACTTGTCTAACCTAGATCAATTAAGTTTGAGTATGTATCAATCAAGGTTTACCTTAGACTGGGTTCTGTCATTTTTAGACTGGTCTATGTGTGTAGAACTTCTGTACAGTGATGGGTTGAGATTTGATTTCTGATCATTGAGACCAGGTACCACTGTAAGGGCACTGACAGAAGTGATAATTTTCATTCAATCTGGCCACAGAAAGCAGTTTATAGCTGTGACCAAACACAAGTGCATGGCTGCAGACAGTTTAAAAAAGGCGGATTGGGTGAAAATCTGACCCCCTGCAATTCATCGGGTATCAGATAAAGATGTTTCAAAATGTAGCGTAACTTGTGTCTGTGGAGCTCCCAGCCTGTCACTGTTTTCAGAATGGGAAGGGAAAAGGGACGGGTGGGAGTTCAGTCTGGGGGTTTTCAGGCCCCCTGAAGGGTGGGCCAGGTGTTTTGGAGCATCCTTGAGGTGGCGAGAGCTTCCTTTCATGCACCTCCAGCCCTTCAGCATTGACTGGAGAGCTCCAAGAACAAACTCCCTCTGCTGCCTTTCCCCCCTCTCATTCTGAAAACAGGGAGAACTGGCAGAGAGCTGTGGCCAGTGCTATGGGAGCCTGGCTGCAGGCTCCCAGCCCACAGCGAGATTCCCCTCCCCCTGAAACCAACAGTGAACTTCTGTTTGGCTTGGGGTAATGCTGTAAGTCAGAACGCTTTGCAGAAAACGTTCTGAATTAGAGCTGGGAGCTGCACTTCTGTCTGCACTTGAAGTTCTGTACAGGGATGAACTAAGTTACATTGGGTGGCCATTTTAAACCCAATCTACCCTCCCCTAACCTCCCCAGATGTCTGCACTTAGCCTCAGTTGTTCAGTTATTTCCCAGTTAGAAGCGGTGACACAATCCAGGAAGTAGACCACTGTAAAAAGTGCCTATTTGTTCCCCCATTTAACTCTATTAACAAACGCCCCCTCTGCCCGCCAGTCTTTGATGAGCTGGATGTACATTTTTAAAATCAGACCACCAGTTTGTGCAGCAGACTGTTAATTTCTATAACATATTAGATTTGTCTTTCCAACACAATTCAGTACCATGTAGAGATATCTGAGTTGGTTCAGACACCGCTGTGCATTAATATAGCTCTCTGCCTGGACAGGTTTGCCAATTTTCTCAGAATGTTCTAAATAGCCCAAGTGAAATGCTACAATAATGCAGCTCTACTGCTTCCAATGCTCAGTCTATACTATTCAGAGCTCACTTAGGTATCTTTACGCAGCAGTGCCTTGTATTCAACAAGTCATTTCATGACACTGATTTTGAAGCAGGATTCCTCATTGAAATAAACCAGGCATTTTGCTAAGGAACTGGTGGCACAATATGAGCCATTGAAATTTCTGCAACATCTTCCAATAAAACCCATGATCAAGGGGTTTATCATGGGGTAAATAGGTAAATGAATAATTTAGGGCACAGACAGAAGTTATATTTGTTGCATGACTGGCTCCTTGAAAGCACTTTACAGCCAGGTCCTTACAGAAGGACAAAGCTGCAGAGTGCTTTGATCACACGACAATCTGAGCTATTATTACAAAGAGGAGTGCAGCTTCATTAACGTCTGTCAGCACACACCAGGAGCAGAGCTTGGGTGATGCAGTGCAGCCCCACCCGCAGTGCTGTCTACAGAACAGGAGGGGGAGAAGGGAGGGGAGGAAGTTCTGTCTGGGTTTTGCCCAGCCTGTGCTGGAGGGTGAAGTGGGTGGATTGGAGCCTCCGCCTGTAGCCCCAGATGGAACTCCCTCCCCTTCCTCCTGGCCCTCCCATTCTCAAGACAGTCCCAAAGCTAGGGCAGGAGGAGTGGGGCTACAGGAGAGTGGCTGCAGACATGCAGCCACTCCAGTCTGGAGCTTGATTCCGCCAACCCCCAGACACAGCAGCAAACATCTGTTGGGTCAGGAGGAAAGCTGTAACTCATGACACTTCCTGCAAACCACCATGAGTTACAGCAGGGAACTGCACATCTGTCAGCACCCTTAAACAGAATATTATTTTTTTTCCTGCTCAGTGTTGATTTTAAATGTATGAATCTTATAAATCTAAGGCTTGGAAGATTTTTTTTCAGTTGTTTACCTAAGAATTTCAGTTTTTAGTATGCTCCAGAATTTTGCAGGGTTATTTAGGCTTTTGTTCAGCCTATGTCTTAGTAAGGGTGTCATCTGCCATCAGAGTCTGGAACTGGATGGATTCAGCAGCTTTATTTGTGAATAAAAAATAATCATCACTGAAAAAACCCTGTTGGTTTACCTTTTTTAAATAAAGACTTGAATAAAGTCAGGGGGAAAATGTTTTTGATGGGATGGTTGATGACTTTAATTGACCAGAGACATGTTAATGCTGCTCTTATATACCTGGCTAGAAATGGACCTCATGTGCTAATGTAAGACAAATCAGATAAAGTTGAAAGAAATTGTAGCTAATTGTGCTAGTTTCTGCCATGTGCTATATGAATTAAGTATTGTAATCACTAGCTTAAGTCAGTTTGTAGAGAGAAGTAGATGAACACAGAACTGGCCATTAAAGATGACCCACACCAAGTGGTCCATCTACACCAGCTCCTCTTGGTACTGTTCTCTGGAGGATGGTTCCCACTTCCACATCCAGCATTCTTTAGCTTGATGGGAGGACGTAGTGGGAGGTTGCATTTTCCCCACTTCCTTTTTTCTACTTTGGTGCTTTCCTCTATGTCAGGCATGATCTGAAGGTCTGTCAATAATGACATCTTTTGTTCAAGAGAGACATTTTTACATTTGACTTTATGATATGACCATTATTGCACCACTGAATCAACCAACATCAGTCAAACAAAATTTAAGCAAAAAAAAAAGTAGAAGCTACAGTAGCGATGTTACTTCATTTCTGATAACAGGGAACTCAACTGGCTTTGGCTATCTTTTTTTTTTAACCGAACACTGTGTTAACCATTAGTTGTTTTTTGTTTAAGCTTTAAGCAGAACTACACCAGGACCTGGCAGAACAAAAACACCTGGCATCCTGAGATGGGATGCACCAACAACAGGTAACTCATATAGCTATGTTTTCTCTGGAGTATCTTTGAAATGATCAGTAACAAGACAATCTATCTGGTTGGGTATGATATCATGTGTGAATTTGACTTTTACTCAGCCATAGAAGTCAATATTTTAGGGTGCTGTTATTCATTTATTGTTTTCTGAGCACTGTGAAACTTAGTTCTCTGCCTATCATGACTAAGGTTCCTTATAAAAGGGATATCTTTCCCTTGGTGTTTCATTCAGGTATATTTATAGCTTGAAATGCAACTGATTGGATGGTAGCAAAAACTACTGTGTTTTATTTGCAGTGGCAGGACTTCAGGATGAGAGCAAACTCCCTGTAAACCTAAATAAAATTATGTCGTGATAACCTTTAGAAGAACGGAGCTAAACATTTGCTAATCCTGCTTTTTCAGAGTAGAATGACCATGGCCCAGCATTGTGTAATAAGTACTAAGATATTACTGTTATTGTTTAACCTTTCTTTCCTCTAAGATATCTGAAAGGGGGCTGGGTAACATTATGCTAGGTGCTGTACAAACACGGAACAAAAAATCTCACTCTGGAAGAGCCTACTCATTGCTAGTATCACAGGGGACACAGAAGTATGTTACTTGAACTACATGGCACAAGCCAAGTTCCCTTATAATCTTTCAGAAATTAGATACATGGGCAGGCTCTGCCAGTCCAGGACTTGTTACTGTCTCCATGGTGTCTACATTGATTATAGTCACTTCTGAAATAAAACAGGCTGGGCTTAAAGCATGGATTTGCTGTTCTTGATATATATGGAATTAGGATGGAATCAACTGATGAGAGACCAAATAACAATATGCCAGCCGAGTCTCTGCAGACTTGATTACTGACTTTTTAAAAATTTTACACAATCCTGCAGTAAATCTGAGTAGAGATGAGAGGAAAAGCTTGGGTGGATGAGGAATTAAATTGCAGGACACAGTCTAGATGTTTCCCCCCAAGCCACCAACAAGTTGCTTAGGGATAAATTACTTCAGTCTCCAAGATAGGACAACTCTGTTTCTTTTTAGGCATTTGGCAAGTAGCTGTATATTGGTTTTTGTATAATGCTGGCATTCAGTAAGAAGCACTAACTTTGGCTGCTGATGTATCCGGTGTTTCTCAGATGACAAATTCAGTTAAAAAAATTCATATTTTGGACAAAGTTGTCAAACTGTTGTTTAAGTCAATGAGTCATGTAAGTAAGTGTTCAACTACTCCTAGGATTAAGCTAAAAGGCCTACAGGTGGTGTGTCTTTTTGGTGATACTACAAACCAGTAGGCAACTTAGGACCAAACTCAGAAGAGTATGTACTTTAGACTTTATCCTGGTTAGGCACATGATACTCAAAATGCTTCCAAGCTGAGGAGCAAAAGGAAGTTATGAGCTGATATAAATTAAAGCAAAATGGAGGCTGCTGTTTTAATATACACCTTCCCTAGTTGCCATCTCTCACTGCATATAAGGATTTAGTAAAAAATAGTTGTGGATTTTTGAGGGCCTACCTACCTTTTTTACAATTTAATTTAAATATACAATCAAAAAATATCTTCAATCTCCCTACAAGAAGATGATACTAATTCATAAAAGATGTACAAAGTTTTTGGATCCGTTCAGTGTTATGCAAGTGTGAGAGAACCTTTTTATCCAGATCAAACTTTTGGAGAGTCACCCACTGCTATTAATAATGGCATGGAACAGACTAGTCCAGAGACATACATGGAATTTTAATCACTGTCACTAATTCAGGGTGGAATGGAAAGTGAGACTGCAGCATATGCTGGTTGACTTGCACTAGCTAACATGAGTAACGATAGAAATGAAGACATGGTGATACTGTTTTACTATATGCAAGCAACCAGAGTACATTCACAGAGTCTTTGAGGAACTTGCTCTCTGGCTATAGCATGTGAAAAAAGGCCCATGATACCATAGCTTCAATGCAGTTGTTACACATGCCAGCTAGGTTAGGTGTACTATAGCCATATCCTCCTTCTGCTATGTAGACATACCAATAGGCTAAAATTTTCTGAAGGACTCAGCGGGGTCAACACATTGACTTTCAATATGTCATAGATGATAAGTTCAGTTTAGTCATTCAAAACATTTATGGTTTGAGTAGCTACCTAAGCTTTTATGCTCCCCTCGGGGGCCTTGTCAAAAGGCTGGAGGTGGGTATCACTTCAGAAATGCTGTATGCTAGTAACAGACTTAGGACACTGACTAACATTCATTTAAAAGCAGGATGGAATCCTATCCCTGATCTCAACAATTGCACCTCCTGCTATGCCACGTGTACATGGCAGATTGTGTGATTTTGACAGGAAGTAACTAGGAAGAATGGGTGCAAACTAGCGGAGAATAGATTTAGGTTAGACATTAAGAAGAAATTTTTTACAGTAAGGGTGGTCAGTCTGGAATGGGCTTCCAAGAGAGGTGATACTATCACCTAACTTGGAGTTGTTCAAGAGGAAGCTTGACAATCACCTGGCTAGGATCATCTGACCTCGGTCCTCTTTCTAGGGGCAGGGGGTCGGACACAATGATCCATTGGGTCCTTTCCAACTCTATAATCTATGAATCTATGATCATCATCCCATTCCTAAGTTCCACAACTCTTCAAACAACTTGGCCAGTGGTGCTGCTATTAGCTCAGCCAGTTCTTTCAGGACTTTTGGGTGTAAGTCATCGGGCCCTGCAGACTTGAGGACATCCAGGTGTTGCAGAAAATCCCTCACCTGTTCAGGACTGATTTTGTGTAGTTTGTTGTCTACCCTGCGCTCCCCAGGCCCCTGATCAGGTGAGCAGCCCACGTTTGATTTCAGGAATACCGACATGAATTATTTGTTTAGGAGTTCAGGTTTTTCATGAGCATCGACTGTGGGCTGCCCTTGAACATTTAGTAAGGGTCCCACAGTGGAGCCTGATTTTTTCTTACTCCCTATGTATCTGTAGAAGGATTTTTTGTTGTCTTTTATTCCAGTCACTGATTTCCATGCCTGCCTTGGCTTTTCTTATCTCATATTGGCAGGCCCTGGCAATGTAAGTGTATTCTTCTCTGGTTACTAAGGCCTTCTTCCACTGTTTGTATGGTTTTTTTCCTTTTTAGAAGCTCTCTAATATTCCTGTTGAGCCAAGTTGGTCTATTGGCTCCTTTCCCATTTTTTGCCTGCATGGGGATGGCCTGTTTTTGAGCCATGAGAATTGCTTCCTTGACGAAGCACCACTGTTCCTGAACTCCCAAGTCATCTGGTTGCTGATTGTAGAGGGCTTCACCAGCTATCTTCTTAAGTTTGGCAAAATATGCCTTCTTGAAGTCCAGGAATTTTGTTGTGCTGTCTGGTTTCCCAGTCTTACGGTGGATGATGAACCTGGCCAGGTCATGATCACTGTCCCCCAGAGTATCACCAACCCTTAGGTCACCTATGATGTCATCACCTTTGGCCAGCACTAGGTCCAGAGTGGCCTGGTAGGCCCTTCCACAACCTGCATCAAAAACAGGTTGTCTATTGTTGCCGAGAAGTTGGCTGACCTATCAGAGGCCACCGAGTGGTTCTCCCAACAGATGTCAAGGTAGTTGAAGTCACCCATGACAATCATGTCTCTAGTGTTAGCTGCTTCAGTTTCCTGGAGAATGCCCGGTCACACTCCTCTGCTTGGGAGGGAGGCCTGTAGTAAACTCCCACCATCAGGTCTCCCTCTCCTGATTTCCTTTGCGTCCTGACCCCGAGGGTCTCGAGGGACTCTTCCCTGTTGTCTATAGTGACCTGCAGGGAGGGGTACTGCTCTTTCATATAGAGGGCCACACATCCTCCCTTCTTCCCAATCTGATCCCTCCTGTAAAGCCTATAGCCCTTAATATTCCGTTTCCAGTCATGTGCGTCATTCTACCATGTCTTGGTTAACCCAACCAGATCAAAATCCTCTGCAAGATGAGACGCAGCTGGCAAGGGACATAAAAGACTTTTAAAAAGGATTCTACAAGTATGCCAAAAGTAAGAGGAATACCAGAGAAACCACTGGTCCCTTACAAAATGCAGAAGGCAATCAAGTTACAGAAGATGCAGAGATGGCTGAAGTATCTAATGCCTTTTTTTCACTTCAGTCTTCACAAATAGGGGCAGCTACCAGATGGTGACTGCAGTTGGCAGCAAGGATAGGGAAGAAGACAGAAAAAAAACCCTAGAGTAACAGAAGAATAGGATATGGATTACTTAGAGAAGCTAGATGCATTTAAGTCAGTAGGGCTAGATTGGATTCGCCTCAGAATAGTGACAGAATTGTCTGAGGTAATTTCAGAGCCATTGCCTATCCTCTTTGAAAACTCATGAACGTTTGGTGAGGGCCCAGATGATTGGAAAAGGGCAAATATAGTGCCCATCTTAAATAAAAGGAAGAAGGACGATCCAGAGAATTACAGAATTGTCAGTCTGACCTTGATACCTGGAAAGATCATGGAACAACTCCTCAAGAAATTTGTTGTGAAATACCTAGAGTCATTAGGGTGATGAGGTAATCCAGTGAGGAAGGTGATCAGGAACAGCCAGCATGGATTCACCAAAAGCCAGTTATGCCTGAGCAACCTGACTTCTTTCTATGATAAGGTGACAATCTGTGTGGATGGAGGGAGAGCAGTGTATGTAATATACTGTGCCCATCTTGCTTTGAAAATCCATTCATGCACCGCTTTGGTGCGGGCGCCAGGTGAGGGACACAGAGAGGCTTCATGCAACCTCTGGTAGGGGCCTCAGTCACCCCGGGGAGTACCCTAGAACTCACCTGCCACGTCTTTGAATGTAACTTCAGTGGTGGGGTCTCCCGTTGGAGGTCCCTTAAGTTCAGTCGATCCTCCTGACAGATATTCATAGGGCTCCACCTCCCCTGCACCCCATCCGTATGCCAGCCTTAGACGGGCCACCTGATGATAATGCGGCTTGCCCTCCGGACTCGATGATCTCTTCCCGTCATACTTTCTCTGGTGTTAGGCCT